GGGGGGGGGGTTAAGCTGGGAATCACCCCTCAGTGGGGAAGTCAGACTTTTTGTTCTCGTTATCCTGTAATTCCCTCCAGCCTTTTCTCCCATCAGCGGCATATTGGCTGGGTTTATTATCCCACTGAAAAGTCCATTTTAAAAAATAAAAATATTTTTAATGCAAGGCAATACCTTAAGGAAGGCCGAGCGCCGAAGAATAGATTCTTTTGAACTATGGTACTGCAGAAGACTCTTGAGAGTCCCTTGGACCGCAAGGAGATCAAATCAGTCGATCCTAAAAGAAATCAACCCTGACTGTTCCCTGGAAGGCCAGATAATGAAACTGAAGCTCAAATACTTTGGCCACCCAATGAGAAGGGAGCACTCACTGGAGAAGACCCTGATGCTGGGAAAGATTGAAGGTCAAAGAAGACGGGGACGGCAAAGGATGAGATGGTTAGACAGTGTCATCGATGCAACGAACATGAAGTTGAGCCAACTTCAGAGGACGGCGGAAGACAGGAGGGGCCTGGCGGGATCTGGTCCATGGGGTCGCGAAGAGTCGGACTCGACTGTGCGACTGAACAACAAAATACTTTGCAGAATGTGCTAAGCCGTGTGTGTGTGCGTGCGCAGACGCATGCGTGTGCTGGTTGTTTGTGTAGTCTCTGTGCAGGAGCAAACAAAGGAAGACGGCTAAAGAACCTCGATGTGCAGAGGCTGCTAGCCACAGTCTTAATGATACCATCATCTTTACTTCATAATGAGTAGTCCAAGACTGTTGGGATGGCCAAGTCAGGAAAATATTTACTTAATATTTCCAGACAGATCTCATTCTGAAAGTCGAATATAAAAAGCATTTCATCAGAATCCCCTTCAAATCCCAGCCCAAAGTGCTGGTTTATCCCCCCCTCTGTTGCCTGTTCTCTATTTATTTATTTATAATTTCGATTTGTATCCCGCCTAGCCACAGAACAGGCTCAAGGCGGCTAACAACGTTTAAAACACCAAGGCAATAAATACGTTAAAATACATTAATAAATTCAGGCTTCATAACCCCTATATAATACTAGTAAGGATGGCAATGAAGGTGGCGGCATACACTATACAAACAAAGGCAATAGCCAACTGCTGTTTTATGTGGTCCAAGGTGTGTTCCGGCAGCACCGACGTCTGTGGCGCTGTCTCCAGTGGCCCTCTCCCTGGTGGCGGCTCCTAATCGAAGGCCTGGCGGAAGAGCTCCGTTTTGCAGGCCCTGCAGAACTGTAGAAGGTCCCGCAGGGCCCTGATGTTCTCCGGGAGCTCATTCCTCTATGGGGAAAGGAGCGCAGCCACAGGAAATGCCCCGCTCATTCTTCTTCTGCTGTCCGTCCGTCCCCCCCCCCGGCTTTCCTTGGCAGGAGCTGACACACGTGGCGGAACAAGGGGGTCCCAAGATGGAGTCCGTCTTGCTCTCTGGCAAGAGTCCTGTGAACCTGGAGCAGTGCTGCAACCCGTCCCTCGAGCCCCAAGAGAGAGAGCTGCGCGTGCTGCAGCTGGTGGCCATGCTGTGCGAGAGCATCTCGGATGCGCTGTTCACAGACGTTTTACAGGTAGGTTCGTGGAGGCCTTGGCTCACTCGGTGGCTGGCACTGGGGCTGCTCTGCTGGGACCCCCCCCCGTGCGAAGGAGCACTTTGGGTGGCCCAGGGGGAGGAGCCAGCCAGGAGGGCCCTGCGGGGGGGGGGGGGGGGGGGGGGATGTAGGGGGGGGCGGCGGAAGAGGGTGCCGAGGGCTGCTGCGCGGGTTCCCAGCTTCCTTTGAGACTGGGGTGCTGGGGGAGGGGAGAGCTCGCTGCCAAGTGGAGGGGCCCCAGCCCGTCAAGGGAGAGGAGCTGTTTTGGGCGCTGAGCCTCCTTCCGAGGCAGGCGTGTTGAGTGCACAGAGCCCTAATCCCTCCTGGCTTTGTCTTCCCCTCGGATAATTAGGGAGCTTGTTGAAAAGATGAAGGAAGTCGGGGAAAGAAGTTGTCCTTGGGGGTTGGGCACCTGTCAGAGTTTGTTTCCCAGCAGGTGGTTCTCCTGGTATATTTAGCTATGGAGCTGCCCTCCTCTCTTCTCCAGCGACAACCGGCAGACCTGGCAGGAGGCATCCCTCGGACATGGGCTTTTCTCTCTGCTCTCCCCCACCCCAGCCAACCCCTGTCGGCGCCCCCCCCCAAGGGGCAGAGACAAGCCCCTGGTGGCTTTGGGGAGAGTGGGGCCCCGGAGGTGGCACGCTGGAGTTCAAGGGCGCCCCTCCTGTGGAGCGGACCGCGTTCCTCTGGATGCCAAGCTGCAGGGAAAGGCCGCCGCCTTCCGCGTCCTGCTTGGGGTGGGGGCTTCCTGCAGGCCTCTGGCTGGGCGCTGCACACGGCATGCCTCTGAGGTGCTCCGGCAGGACTGCCCTGAGGTTCTCGCGTCCTTCCGAGCTGAGTTCTGCTCCTGTCTGCCTGGTGGGGTCAACGCTCAGAGTTGCCTTGAGATCTTGGTTGCTGCCCCTCTGCCTCGTCATCTGGCTGGCTTCACATGCTGTCGGAGCTGCAGGGTTGTTGCCGGTCCCGCTGCCTGCGGTTCATGATCTCCAGCGGCTCTGAGTTGGAGCCTTTTGGCAGGATCAGCTCCCTTCCCCCCCCCCAAAGTTGCTGCTGCCTCTTGTCTCGTTTCCGCAGCTGAGGAGCGGTGGAGAGCCTTGTCCCCTGCTTGGCCATGGAGCCCACCGGGTGATTGTGGCCTGGGAGCTTGACGTATTTCACAGGGTTTGGGGGAGAGGGAGGAAGGCGAAGATAAAAACAGAGTAGGGGAGGACGGGTCTGGCTGAAGGGAACCTCTGTGTTCCGTGGCAGCACCCCTCTGCAGGCCAGTTGCTGGGGGACACCCTGCAGGAGAGGGCTCTGTAGCCCCTTCTTGTGGGCATCCGGCTGGCCACTGTAAGAAACGGGATACTGTGCTGGGAGGGTCACTGGAGGCGGCTTGTCAGGCATCCGTGGCAAGGACAAAGCTGCTCTTTCGTCCCCAGGTCAGGAGGCAGCAGCCTGTCATTTCTGGTGGGTGCATTGTACGGTACCCCAGAAGAAGTCGATGGCCTGCAAAATGAGCCGGTTTGGTCTAGTGGTTAAGTGCGCGGACTCTAATCTGGGAGAACCGGGGTTGATTCCCCACTCCTCCACTTGGACCTGGCTAGATGACCTTGGGCAAGCCATAATTCTGGCACAGCTGTCCTTGAAAAAGAGCAGTTTCTGTCAGAGCTCTCTCAGCCCTGCCTACCTCACAGGGTGTCTGTTGTGGGGAGGGGAAGGGAAAGGAGTTTGTAAGCTGCTCTGAGACGCCTTTGGGTAGTGAAGGGCCATGGGGTGTAAATCCAATCTCTTCCTCTTCTTCTCTTTGGGGAGTGTGGCTGAAACCCCCCAGGATAATCGGTATCATTGTAGTTTTGAAATAAGAACCCTCCATTTGGATTCCACGTGCCGGCCTTTGGTGAATCTCTCCGGCTTGCTTGGAAAAGCCCGCCTTGCATCGCCAGGGGCTCTGCGTGGACTGGCCAGATAACCCCTTTGTTTCTCTCTGCGCAGGTTGTAGAGTTTGTTGCCGCGACCCTGAAGCGGGCCTGCGTGAGCGGAGGCGTGGTGGAGGCCCAGACGTTGAGCATGGCCATGGGGCTCGTGGCGGCCTTCCTCGGAGGGGCTGTGCAGGTGAGCTGGGGGCAGGAAGGGGGCACCGCTCCTGGATAGGGTGGGGCGTGCTCTGGAACCGGGGACTCGTAGCCCTTGCTGCTGTCCCTAGCCAGCCAATAGTCCAGCTCCTTTCGAGAAGCCATACCAGGAACACCGGAAGCTGCCTTATACCGAATCAGACCACAGGTCCATCAAGATCAGCATTGTCTACTCAGGCTGGCAGCAGCTCTCTGGGGTCCCAGGCAGAGGACTTTCACATCACCTGGTCCTTTGAACGGGAGGTGCTGCTGGGGACTGAACCAGAGACCTTCTACGTGCTAAACTGAGGCTCTGCCAGTGAGCCTCTGAGCCTTCCAAGGCGGGCGCCCCTCCTCGAAGCCAGAGGGCAGCTTTGCCCAGATTTGTCCACTGGGGGGGGGCACTTCATGGGGAGCTGGCCATGCAGACCCTGCCATGTCAGGAGACTGGGGCAGCAATGCTAAGCTGGAACCAGCTGTGGGCATAAGAGGGTGACCTCTGTGCCTGCCCTGAACTGGGCGTAGGTCCTGGGCCCTTCAAGTCACACCAGTGAGAAGGGCGGGTGCTTCTGGGGGTGCTCAGCCTCCCCCCCCTGCTGTGTGTGCCGGCTGCTGATTGGCTGTCTCTGGTCTGTGGGTACCGGCCGAGTCAAGAAGTGGGGCTGCTTTGGGCCGACGTGGTGGGATCCTGCTGGGACGTGTGGGGGCCGGGCGTGCACGTGTGCCGCGGGTTCTTCCGAGGTCCCTTTGGCTTCTGACTGCCGCTGAACAGCAGCAGCAAAGAGGCTCCGGGGCCTCGCGGGCGTCGGCGTGTGTCAAGTCTCGGCTTGCAGGCTCCGGTCTTCCTTCCTTCCTGTCCTGAGACGGCTGCCAGCAAAACGGCTGCACAGTCTTCTTCTGATGTGGTTATGGGGGAGATGGGGTGGGGGCTCCGGAGTGCTCTGTGCATCGAGTCCCCCTGGCAGTTGTCACCCGGAGTGGGTGGTGGAATGAAGCATGCGCTAAGGAAGACCCGTTGAAGGCCTGGGGGAGGCGTTGTTGTCCTTGGGGCAGCAACAACACTGGGGGGGGTTTCCAAAGGTGTCTTCGGGCACTTGTAAAAGTGACACTCCAGGAAGAGCAGGAGCCTGGCCCCAACAAAACATCGTCTGGATTCCAGCAGTGGGCAGGGTGAGGAGCCCTGAGTCCCTGGGGTGGCTGCATGGCTTTGTGATCCCCTGGCCTGAGGTGCGAGCGGAGACCTCGAGCCCCCAGCAGTGGCCGCCCTTCTGCCAGGCTGTTGGTGAGGCACAAGCATGTCCTGAGCTGCCCTACCCACCGTTTGCAGCTGCCAGCTTGGGGCATGATGTTATCTTGGCTGTCAGATCAACATCAACCCTTAACGGAAACCACAGCAAAGGCTCTTCCTCGCTGCGCTTCCTCCTTTCTGCCCAGGGGGAGTTCTCGGGAGAAGCAGCGGCCCCCTCGGCCTTTAAGGTGCCACTGATGAGCTTTTGGGGTTCTCTCTCTCTCTCTCCTCCTCTAGCTGAAGTCGGCTGACTTTGCGGCCTTGAAGCGGCTGGTGCCTCTGCTGGAGGAGGTCTCTCGTGCGCACCCCGAGCCCGTCATCCAGGAACTCGCTGCTGACCTGCGCGTTACCATCTGCACCCACGGAGCCTTTTCCCCTGAGAGCGTCTGCTCTGCGGCTCAGAGCACTCTGGGCAAGAGAGAGGCGGGGGAGACAGCGCGCAAGGCGGCAGCCGATGTGGACCCCGCAGAGAGACCCCAAGGAAAGGCGCTGGAGCCCACCGTGACACTGCCGCCGATGCCCACGGAGAGCAGCGCGGCCGCTGGTCCTGCTGCCACGGCTCCCGGGAGGCTTCCAGCTGGGAAGCTGGTTGCGCACAGTCTCCCGGGCTCCCGGGCACTGCAGGAGCTCCTCTTGTCGGCTTATGACCCCGACATCCCCTCGAGAGCCGCTGCCTTGCGCAGCCTGTCCCGCCTGGTAGAGCAGAGGGACCCCGAGGTGCTGAAGATCCGGGACAAGTTGCTCAAGGTAGAGAGGCCCAGGTCTCTGCCGGCAAAGGGGCAAGTGGGTGGCCTTGGCCTGCCTCTCCTCCACAGAGCAGGATTGGGGCTAGGGGTGGGGGTTGCTCTGTGAAGAGATTCATGACTCCCTCTGGTGGGGCAGGCAAGACTGGCGAGGAAGAAGAAGAGATTGGATGTATACCCCATGGCTCTTCACTACCCAAGGGAGTCTCAGAGCGGCTCACAAACTCCTTCCCCTTCTCCTGCTCACAGTCAGTGGGGCTGAGAGAGCTCTGGCAGAAACTGCTGTTTCTCAAGAACAGCTGTGCCAGAACTACGGCTTCCCCAAGGTCATCCAGCCAGGTGCAAGTGGAGGAGTGGGGAATCAAACCCGGTTCTCCCAGATTAGAGTCCACGCACTGAACCACTACACCAAACTGGCAGAGTCTGCAGATCAAGGGTCACTCCCAGTGGCCTTTTGTCGTCTTGCTCCCCAACACAGCGGGAGCTGTTATGGCCTTTGGTGGAGCGTGGCTCTCTCTCTTCTCCCTCTCTGTGTTTTGGTTTTTTCTTTCTTTCACACTTTGAGACGGTGAACCCTGCACTAGCGGGTGTGGCAGGGCACAATTTTCAGGTCTCTTGCATTGTCTGTGGCCTCTTGGCTCAGGGAGCTGGTTCTCATTATGAACGAGAAAGCCTCGAATACACTCTGGCAAATCACTTTTATTCTCTCTAAGCAACCGACTGAGGAGTGGTTCTCCCCACACACCCCGCCCCCATGACACCTTGTCTTGCTGACCAGAGCTCTGATGCCCAGTGCCGCTGAGACCGGCGTGGCATTTCTCATTAGCAGAACTGGGGATTGTGGCCCAGGGGTGCTCTCTGGGAGGCTGGGAGTCTTGAAGGGGGTGGCGGGAAGCTGCTGGCCATAAGAACATGAGAAGCCAATGTTGGATCAGGCCAATGGCCCATCCAGTCTAACATTCTGTGTCACACAGTGGCCAAAAATACCAGGTGCCATCAGGAGCTCCAGCAGGGGGGCCAGGACACTAAAAGCCCTCCCACTGTTGCCCCCCCCCCCCAAGCACCAGGAATACAGAGCATCCCTTGCCCCAGACCAAGAGTTCCTATCTGTACCTTTTCAGCTAGTAACCACTGATGGACCTCTGCTCCATATGTTTATCTAATTCCCCCTTGAAGCTGTCCGTGCTTGTAGCCACCGCCACCTCCTGTGGCAGTGAGTTCCATGTGTTAAACACTCTTTGGGTGAAGAAGGACTTCCTTTTATCGATTCTAACCTTTTATCGATTCTAACCCGACCACTCAGCAGTTTCATTGAGTGCCCACTTGAGTTCTTGTATTGTGAGAAAGGGAGAAAAGGTCTTCTTTCTCGACCTACTCTATCCCATGCATCATCTTGTAAACCTCGATCATGTCACCCCTCAGCCGTTGTTTTTCCAGGCTCAAGAGCTCCAAGCGCTTTACCCTGTCTTCATAGGGAGAGTGTTCCAACTGTGTTGTCGTTCTAGTTGCCCTTTTCTGCACTTTTTCCAATGCCTTCTCAGGACGTGGTGATTCTCGGTCCTTGTTCTTGCAGATATTTGTGGAAAGCTTGGACCACGAAGACTCCTTCGTCTATCTTTCGGCCATCCAAGGTAAGCAAGTGGACTCTGCCTCTTTGCCTTGAGCATTCCTGAGAATTAGAACAAGACGTTGTTTGCTGCCTGGCCAGCCTCCTGAGGCAGCAGCCCACACTAGACGCCTTCTGGGAAAGCTGTTTGGTTAGAGCTTTCTGAGCCTCAGGGCACCCCTGGCATTCTGGCGTGAGGTGGTGGGCACCGCCTCAAAATGGCTTCCACAAAGCCAGCCGCAAAATGGCTGCAGCAGCTGACCTTTCAGTCACTCGGTGAAGATCCCTGTGCTGTGGTGGCCGCTGCCTCAAAGCTAACATTTTTAAAAAGCTGCATAACCAGTAAAATCTCCAGTGGCCAGTCAGAATCCCTGCTGTCCAAACGCCCCGCCTGACTTCTCCTGGGTGCCCGCAGCCACCACAGTGGGCCAGGACATAGATACGGATCAACCCAGAGATCCAACTTGTGTGGGTCAGGAAGGTCCCCAGAAAGGGGCAGCCCAGCCTGTGGAGGCACAGGGCTGCCTGCAGCGCGAATGCCGCGCCCTCCTCCTCCTCTTCCTCCTCCACCCTCTCCCAGGCAACGACGATGCTTGTTCCCTGGCCCTGGCTGGACACACGGGAGGCTGGCCCAGGGGGAGCTGGCTAAAGAGACCGGCAGGTGACCTCCGTGGAAGATCAGCCCGTGATGCTTTTGTTGATCCTCTGGACTTGGCACGTCTCTGTGCCTGGTCGCAAGGAGTGCCTGGCTAACCAGGCCTTGCTGCTTCCCTGCCCACCGGCAGCCTGACTTCTGGAGAAACCGCGGGAGCCCAGCGTGTGGAGGCACGGAGCGGCCTGCAGCCCGGGGGGCTCTGCTGAGCGAATGCCGCGCCCTCCTCCTCCTCCACCCTCTCCCAGGCAATGGCGATGCTTGTTCCCCGGCCCTGGCTGGGCACACGGGAGGCTGGCCCAGGGGGAACTGGCTAAAGAGACCGGCAGGTGGCCTCCGCGGAGGATCAGCCCGTGATGCCTTTGTTGACCCTCTGGACTTGGCACATCTCTGTGCCTGGTCCCCAGGAGTGCCTGGCCAACCAGGCCTTGCTGCTTCCCTGCCCGCCGGCAGCCTGACTTCTGGAGAAACCGCGGTTAAATCTGGAGACAAAGGAGTCCTTCTTTGCCTCTCCTGGAGGAACTGCAAGATGATCCCTCATAAGCCGGGCAGATCTGCTGTGCAAACATCCAGTTGGCACCTGTGCCGCTCCAGAGGAGGAAGCGCATGTGTGCGCACTTACTGGCTGGGTAACAGCACCCCTTCCCTCTGGCATCAAGGTGGAGCTGCTCCAGGACGGCAGCTGCAGGAAGGGCACTGAAACAGGTGTAGATGGTTTTCCTGGGTCCTTGCAAGGAAAAAAGATGACTAAGGGTGGACATGATAGAGATTTATAAAGAATAAAGTTTGTCCAGAGTGGCACTTTTAAGACCGGCAAAGTTTTATTCAAGGTATAAGCTTTCTTGTGCCTGGCCAGCCTCCTGAGGCAGCAGCCCACACTAGACGCCTTCTGGGAAAGCTGTTTGGCTAGAGCTTTCTGAGCCTCAGGGCACCCCTGGCATTCTGGCGTGAGGTGGTGGGCACCGCCTCAAAATGGCCAGTCTGTCTGCACACTTCTTCAGATACAGTGAAATGGAAATTACTAGTCCATACATATAGGTAGAGAGTGAGCAGTAAATCAGTATACAGCATAATGAAGATGTTTAACAGATCCAAGGACCAAACAGGAACAACAAGTTTAGTTTATATGGTTACCATTTGTTTGGGTTTAATTCCGGGAGAAAATATAGTGAAGAAAATAAATATGTCAAAATTGGAGATGGATGAGCATTTTTTCCCTTAATTGTGGAACTCTGAGAGTAATTAGCATGGAGGTGACTTTACAGCATAAGAACATAAGAGAAGCCAATGTTGGATCAGGCCAACGGCCCATCCAGTCCAACACTCTGTCATACAGTGGCCAAAAATACCAGGGGCCATCAGGAAGGCCAGCAGTGGGGCCAGGAGGACACCAGAAGCCCCTCCCACTGTTGCCCCCCCCCAAGCACCAAGATTCTAACCCGACTGCTCAGCCATTTCATTGAGTGCCCATGAGTTCTTATATTGTGAGAAAGGGAGAAAAGTACTTCTTTCTCTACCTGCTCTTTCCCATGCATAATCTTATAAACCTCGATCATGTCACCCCTCAGCCATCATTTCTCCAAGCTAAAGAGCCCCAAGCGCTTTAATCTTTTTTCATAGGGAAAGTGGTCCAACCCTTTTATCATTCTAGTTGCCCTTTTCTGCAACTTGTTCCAATGCTGTAATATCCTTTTTGATGTGTGGTGACCAGAATTGTATACAGTCTTCCAAATGAGGTTGCACCATTGATTTATACAGGGGCATTATGATACTGGCTGATTTGTTTTCAGTTCCCTTCCTAATAATCCCCAGCATAGCGTTGGCCTTTTTGCAGTCGCACACTGTCTCGACATTTTCAGTGAGTTATCTAGTACGACTCCAAGATCAGTCTCTGCCAGTTTGGACCTCATCAACGTGTATTTATAGTTAGGATTCTTGGCCCCAATGTACATCACTTTGCACTTGTCCACATTGAACCCCAGTTGCCACATTGTTTCCTATTAATTAGCCAGTTTTTGATCCTTTTATCCCATGACTGTTGAGCTTACTGAGGAGCCTTTGATGAGGAACTTTATCAGAAGCTGTCTGGAAGTCAAGGTAAACAACATCTGTCGGGTCCAGTGCTCCCTCTAAGCTGTGGAGTCTTGTGAGCAAAGATTCTGCTGGCATCAAAGTTGTGAGCGAGTAATTTGGCTATTGCATAAATTAGTTTTCTTTGGAGCCATCCTTCCTGAGCTAAGACAAAAATGTGTGAGCCGGAGACTAAAAAACTGAGCTAACTCACACTAACTCAGCTTAGAGGGAACACAGTCCCCCTTGTCCACATGTTCACCCCCTTGTTCACCCCCTCAAAGAACACTAACAGGTTAGTGAGACTAGATTTTCCCTTACAGAACCCATGCTGAGTCTGCCTCAATAATTTTTGTTCATCAATGTGCCTACTAATTCTCTCCTTAATAACAGTTTCCGCCTACTTACCCAGTATTGACGTCATACTGACTGGCCTGTAATTTCCCGGATCTCCTCTGGAACCCTTTTTAAAGATGGGGGTGATATTAGCTACCTTCCAGTCCTCAGGAATAGAGGCATTTTTTGATGAAAGATTACATATTTTTGTCAGGAGATCCACAAATTGCATTAAACTACAATCTACCATTCCAATCTATTATTCCAAATATGAAATAAAATAAAGAGGATGTATGCCCCTTCTGGGGGATTGGTGAGAATACAGATGTAAGGGCTGAATGAGGTTAGCATATGTAGTGAGATAAGAAACCAATATCCCTGTTAAGTCCTGGGGATTCCGTTGTTCTGAGTGTTGTAATAACTTGCAACTCAGCAATTTCCCTTTCTGGTCTGTTTCTGTTCCTGAAGTTCCTTTGCAATAAAAGAGCTACTTTGAGGTCACACATTAAATGTTCTGGAGGGCTGAAGGGTTCTCCTACAGTTTTCTCAGTCTTGTGACTCTTGATGTCAGATTTTTATCTATTTATCCTTTGGCATAGGGTTTGACCTGTTTAACCTATGTAGAGAACCGAAGGGCATTGTTGGCATCTAGTGGCATATACGGTGTTAGAAGATGAGCAAGTGAATAAGTCTGAGGTGGTGTAGTTGATGTTTTTAAGTCCAGTGATGGTGTTGTCTGGGTGTCTGTGGCAGCAAAGTTGGCACCTGGGTTTATTGCAAGCTCTGGTACCAGTGTCCATGTTCAAATCAGATGTCATATTATTGTCGGTGAGCAGTTGTTTGAGATCGGGGACCTGTCTGTGCCCCCCAGTATTCATTTCTTCATTTGATTTCTATTCTGCTCTCCCCCACGACCATGGGGCTCAGAGCGGATTACGATATAAATAGGCTGTTAAAAAGAATTAAAATCTGTACATACATTCCAAACACTTAATCAGATGGCGAATGCTATGTCACTGTCCGCGGGAAAAGAGGGGAGGGGGAGAAGCAGAGGGCAGTAAACTCTCTGATGTTATCCATAAGGCTGGCGATATAGTTCCGTTTTGCAGGCCCTGCGGGACTGAGCTAAGTCCTGCAGGACCCGGTTCCCATTCGGAAGCACATTCCATAGAGCTGGAGCTATCCCCGAAAAGGCCCCGGCTCTAGTGCCTAGAAGCTAGGCAAATGGTCTTTGGCCCTGGGACTGCCAGTATGCTGGTATTTGAAGAGCGTAAGGCTTTTTGGGGGTGTGCCAGGAGAGGCGGTCCCAAAGACTTGTGAAAGAGAACTGCCATTATCCGGTGAGGTTGTAAATCACTGAAGATGCGTTGAACTGTTTTGTGTTGAGAGCTTTATGTGACCACTAGCAGTGTTCTGTTATTGTCTCTTTATAGAATCAGAGAGTCATAAGGGGCCACGCAGGCCATCTAGCCCAACCCCCTGCTCAGTGCAGGATCAGCATAGAGCGTCCCTGACAAGGGTTTGTCCAGACCTGCTTAAAGACTGCTAGGGAGGGGGAGCTCACCACCTCTCAAGGCAGCTGATTCCACTGTGGCACATCTCTGACTGTCAAAAAGTTTTTCCTCTTCTCCAGTCGGCACCTTTATGAGTCTGTCTTGCAACAGGTTTTCTCTGGGTACCATTCTGGCTTTGTTAATCTGCATCTTGGCCTCATCAGGTGGGTACTTAGTTCCAAAAAGGTTTGTTGCAGATCCCACTGGAACAGACACAGCTGTAGTGCAGAGCCTGGCTGTATACAATGGATCATTTGGTATGTTTAAGAGGGTAGCTGGAGGCATCTGGTATGTTTGTCGGTCAGTAGGTTTCTGGTGGTGTCTGTGCGTCCATTGTGTATTTTTACAGTAGTTTCCAGAAAATGTATTTCTTGTATAGATTGGTTCATTGTCAGGTGTATAAAATTTGCATAGCCCTGCCTGGAGCGAGAGGAGGCGTGGCCTGACCAGTTTGGATGACTTCCCCCACTGAAGGAGAATGGGCAAAGAGAAATTCCCCCCCCCCCAGAACTCAAAGGCATTCAGTGAAGCTGATGGGCAGTAGCACATGAGAGGAAATACTTCTTTACACAGAGAGTAGAATGTGGAATTCCCTGCTGGAGACTGTCCTGATGGCCACAGGCACAGATGGCTTTGGAGGAGGAGGAGGAGGAGGAGGAGATTGGATGTGTACCCCCGGCCCTTCACTCGGAGTCTCAGAACGGCTTACACACTCCTTTCCTTCCCGCTCCCCACAACAGACGCCCTGTGAGGTAGGAGGATTAGACAGATTCATGCAGGAGAGTTTTATCAGTGGCCACTGGCCACGGTGACGAAAGGGAACTTCCACATTCAGAGGCAGTACATCCCAGTGACAGGAGGGGAGGCAACCTTGGGGGGGGAAGGCCTTGGCCTCCACCCCCTGCTTCTTTGGCCCTCCAAGGCAGCTGATTGGCCCCTGCATGAGACAGGACGCGGGACTAGAAGGACTGCTGTCTGATCCAGCAGAGCTCTTCTCAGGTTTCATTTTTATCCTGATCTGGAGGCTGAGGGGTGGATAACGAGGCGTCTTCCAAGGAGGGTGAGGGTGCTACAAGCAGGAGGCTCAATGGGTGGTATCAACACGTTTCCACGGGAATGTGGAAGTGCCGTGTGCCCCTGTTGGGTATTACAAGTTGAAAACACTCAGTACATCTGGGGTTAAATGTTTGTTTATGTTACTCACAGGAAGGCACATGTTTCTCATGTAACCAATGTTCTTTAGCTGTAGAAAGCCCAGGAATTTTCTCCCTGATCTAGGGATTTGATTGGGACTAAAGTGTCAAGGTGTATTACCATTTTATGGCTTCTCTTCCCGTCTTTGTTTTGGTGTTCTGAAGAAGAAGAAGAGCAGCCATAATCTCTCTCTTCTAGTTTTGTCTTTGTAGTGTAAGGATGTAGCCGACTATGCTCTGCTGTTATTTTCATTCCAGTTACCCTTCCCATGCTAGAATTTAGTAAAAACTTTATATTTTAATCATGCATGGACTCTCAGTCTGAATTATTTTACTCAGGCTCTGCTGAGCTATGTTATCTCTGCTAAATACCATTTTTTCAATATCTCACTATCACCCAACAGCCCCTGACAGGTTCCCGTGGAGAGGTGTTGCTGCACAGTTCTGCAGATGGCACCTTGGAGCCCCTGGTGTGAGCTGCGCCAGCAGATTATTCTTGGGGGGGGGAAGGGGATGCACAAACTGAGTCAGAAGCAAAGCGCTGAGCTAAACTTGCTCATGCTGTTCCTGGTAGCCCAAAGGCATCTGGGGCAGAGGTGAGGGTGGAGGGTGGAAGGCGTTGGGCTTCTCTTTCTGTTTCTCCCCCTGCCTCTTCCCGCTCCAGCGTGAAGCACCTTTTGTTTCCAGCAGAGAGCCAGTCTTGTCCGTGCACTTCCTGCCACTGACTCATCGCTGGGTGTCCATGCACTTCCTGCCACTGACTCATCGCTGGGTGCAGGCAGAGGTGCTCTGCCCGGAGCCCACCCCCTCAAGAGTCTGAAATGAGTGGCATCTCAGTTGCTCACAGAAAGTGGATAGATTTTAGCCAGTCTGGCAGTGTGCAGCAAGCACTTGTGCCTTAATGTTGGGTGCCCTGGTGCCTCTCCCGGGCACTCCTCTTTGTCAGTTCTGCCTCGTGCAAGTTCGAGCAGGCTTTTCCACGCTGCTTTCTCTTGTGCCCTTTGGCAGCCTGTGTTCCGGCCTGGGTGGCCTGGAGCAAGCTGGTCTGTGTGTCGGCCTCAAAAGGGGAAAGGGAAGTTCCGTGAGCTGAGGCTGCTGTCATGGTGTGTCAGATGTGGGCCCCTCTCCTTCTCCATGGCTCCCCCACCCCAGCGCGCCACTTCTCTGCCTCTTTTCTCTTCCAGTCGGCATGAAGAGTAAAACAGCCTCCTTCATCAAGCCTTGTCGCTTTTCAACACGGAGAGGCAAGCGAGGCAGGCCCTGAGCGCTCCCCTCCATTCCCCCCCGCTTGTCACCCCATGTCTGGCCAGGTGACCTCTGCTTCTCCTCTGGTAGTTGGAGAGGCTGGAGAGGGTTCCGGAGGCCAACTGTGGTTTCCAGCCGGTCCTGCGAATGATCTCTGAGGTTCCCTTCTCTCTCTCTCTTTGCCCCCAGGTGTTGTCCTGCTGTCGGATGCTTTCCCGGAAGAGGTTCTGCCCCCCCTGCTAGCCCGGTACGAGAGCAGCCCCCCAGGAGCACAGGAGGCGTGGCCGGTGGAGACCAGGATGAAAGCGGGGGAGGCACTCATGCGCAGCACCCGGGCTCTGGGTGAGTGTGTGGCCTCTTCCCGGGGCCTGTATTCAAGCCATTCCAGGGGGGGGGGCTGTGGGCATGTTGTGTTGAGGGTCTTAGTTCCAGGGACGATGTTTTGCCAACATCTGGAAGCCTCTCTGTGCTTCTCTCTGCTTCCCACGCTCGGGGGCCTCCTCGTGCCCACGGGCTGGAGCAGGAGCAGGAGAGTCTGCCACTGGCCCCTACCCTGGAGCCAGATCAGGGAGGAGACAGAGGGAGGCTGGGCAGGAGTCCGGGAACGAGTCACCGGAGCCTGGAGTTGGGTGGATGCAGGTCTGCTCCGCGGATTTCCCCTTTGCTCCATTTCCCATAATTTGGGAATTCGGGAATTGTCCCCACTTGTTTCCGGCATGTCGAAAGACACCCTCTGAAACCTGGGTGCTGCGGCCCGAAGCTTCCCGGCCTCCCCGGGCTTGTCTGGACAAGAGAGGGTGCCTGCGTGCTCCCAGGGTTTGCTCTCCTGGGCCGATGAAGGCAACTGCTGCCCTCCAGCCGCTGCCCGGGGGTGTGTGTGTGCTGGTGCTGGCGCTTCTCACAGTTGCCGGGTCCACATCCAGAACATGGTCGAGCGGGTAAGGAGCTCCTCTGCGTCTGGGCCTCACTGGGCCTTTCGGAGGACTCTGAGGAGTGGTCCGAGCACGCACGTGGTGCCTGTCAGGCCAGGCCCCCCCCCCCCGGCTCCTGTGCACTCAGGGCGTGCCCTCAAGAGCACACCCAGCATTCCCCTGTGCAGGGAGGCGGCCGGAGGTGGGGGAACAGGAGAGTGACCAGCAAGCTGCCTTCCGAGGAGGAGCCTCTCTGCCCCCCTGAAGGGGGGCCCCCTGATGCCCACGGCGTGGCTTCTCCTCCACCACTCCCAACACCATTTGCAGACCACAGCTGGAGGCAACCCTGCGGTGCAGAGCCCGGGGCTTGCTTGAAAGGGCAGGTGCCTACCCAAAGCCTCTTCCTAGCTGCCTTGTGCCCCCCCCCCCACGACAGGCAACAGTGTTTTAAGGAGCCCCCCCCCCCGTGCGAGAGCCGTGAGAAGGATCCTGCGCCCCTGGGAGATCCTGCTCTGCCTCCTCGGGGGGGGGGGGGATCTGAGCCAGGGAAGGAAGGTGGCCTTTCCATGGGCGGGTGGGCAGGCAGCGGTGGCCGCTTCCTGAGCCCTGCTTCCTGAGCCCTGCTTCCTGAGCCCTGCAAAGTTGGCCGTGAGCCTTTGGGGCAGAGCCCAAGAGACACCCCTTCCGTTCCTACCAGAATCTGCCTTTTGTTCTTTGCCTCCCTGCCTCCAGTGATGGGGGGGAGGGGGTGGGTGAGCCACTTCACGGCTGCCCCTCCCATCCAGGTCACCTGCAGGGTGGGGGGTGTTTGACCCTCCATGTTCTGGTTCCCCCCCCACCAGACCTGTCTTTGCAGGTAGAATTGCACTTGGCTGCTCTCGCCAAACCACCACCCGCTGGAAAGCTCTTGGCTCCCAGGAGGTTGCTGCTGCTTGCTTGGGAGATAATAGCATAATTGCTCCCCTGTGTGTCGAGGCTTCATCCCACCCCACCCCCCACCCTGTGTGTTTCCTGCTCCTCCCCCTCCCCAAAGCAGGAGTGCCTCTTGGAGGGGGGACCCTCTTGCCCTTTCCGTTCGGGTTCGATGCTCTGGGCAGCCCTGCTGCTTCCTCCTTCTGCCTGGGGTGGGGTGGGGGTGGATTTGTGGTACTCCTGGGATGTGCCGCTCCCTGTGGGTTCTTGTGCTGCCGCCAGCACAGTCCCCAGTTTGGCCTGCGGGCACCGGCTAGCCTGCCTATTTATAGATTAAATGAAACTATTTGTACCTCCTCACATGGGTCCTCTGGATGGAACTACTGAAGACAGAGTATGCCCAAAACCCGCTTCCCCTCCCCTTTCATCACTGGGCTGGTTTGGCCTGTGAGGATTCAGGATCTCATCTGGATCCTCCTCCATCCCTGTGCAAACCGCCCCCCGCCCCCCCCCCGCTCACGGGTCCCTGGGCTAGCTGGAAGTCCATAGATCATGGAGTTGGAAGGGACCTCCAGGGTCATCTAGTCCAAACCCCTGTACAATGCAGGGAATTCACAACTACCTCCCCCCACACACACACGCCCTCAGTGACCCCTGCTCCATGCCCAGAAGATTGCTTCAAAAAAACTCCAGGATACCCGGGCAAACTGCCCTGGAGAAAAATTGCTTCCTGGCTCCAAAGTGGCAATCAGCATTTCCATGGGCGTGTAAGAAAGGGCCACGAGAACTAAGCACTGATGCAACCCTCCCTGCCCTCCGTCTCATGACCTGCCTAAGTTCACAGAATCAGCATTGCCATCAGATAGGCCATCTAGCCTCTGCTTGAAGACCTCCCAAGAAGGAGAGCTCACCACCTCCCAAGGAAGCCTGTTCCACTGAGGAACTGAACATAAGAACATAAGAGACGCCAATGTTGGATCAGGCCAAAGTCCCATCCCGTCCAACACTCTGTGTCACACAGTGGCCAGAAATACCAGGT